AAATGTGCTCATTCACATGGAATGCAAAGGCTCCTCCATTCTTTCTGTCTCAGTAGATTACCTCACTGCAGCCATACCCAGATGCTTCAGTGTTGAATCAGAGCATTGCACTAAAATAGTTTTTGTGCCATATGGGTTGTTTCTTTCTTTTTTTTCATTAGTTCCCCCATCAACGCCAAAGTGTTGGGTTGAAGGTGGTGAGGAGAAAGGAAGCACAGTCTCCCTCCGCTGCGTATCCCGTCAAGGATCCTCTCCCATCAGCTATGTGTGGACGAGAGAAAATGGAGCTGCAATTCCATCCACTGCTACTCAAAGTAAGCAACTTAGCACCAGGATGCCTTTTTCTAAGAATGCTCTTCTCTAAACACTAATGCGGCTGTGTTTGTGTAGGTAATGTGCTTGTACTCAGTGCTGTCTTCTTTCATTAAGACCAACAGAGTGGGGAGCTTCTGATAAAGAACCATACAGACAGCAACACTGGAACTTATGTCTGCGAGGCAGCAAACGCTGTGGGCAAAGGGCAGTGTAAATACGTACTGCGTGCATACAACCGTAAGTCTACAATATCATCATCTTATTTTCAGTTTAACAGCTCTGAACACTCATATCCTGAAGGTACCTTTTTTGACTTGCTTTTATGCAAAATCACATATAATCCTCTTGTTGGATTTGGAATTCAAGAAGGTGAGCTGCACACGTTTGATTTCTAAGCAATACATTGCCTCTTCCAGCTACCAATAAAGCAGGTGTGATAGCTGGCGCTGTGATAGGCGCTCTGCTGCTTCTGCTGCTCCTCCTGCTTCTCATCTGGCTTCTCATCTGCTGCTGCCACAAGCGTCGCTACCAGAAGGAGGTCGCGAATGAAATAAGGTATTTTATGGCCGTTTGAGGCATCTGTCAAACGATCTCAGATTGGTGCAGCAGCTTAACTGAGAACCTGCATGGCTCTACTTTCCCAGGGAGGATGCGCAGGCCCCGGAGAGCAGGCCCCCGAGCAGGAACTCCAGTATGCACTCCAGCCGGCACTCCAGCCTCCGCTCAGTGATGGGATACCGCACTCACCACGGCGTCATCTACAGTTCCGTAAGGGGCAATCTGCCTACGGTCAATGAATCGGGCCCAATCTTCACAAATGGAAGCAATGGGTCGACCACAGGCGGGGAGATACCCGCTCACCTCACATATGACCCTAAATATGGATACGCCGTGTGACCACAAACCTCAAGCCTAACAGGCTCTTAATTTTATTTTTAGTGCTCAACTACACTTTATGATAAAAAAAAAAAGACTCAACACCTTTTAAATAATATTCTGTGTCTGAAGTATATAAGGGCCAAGAGTTGCAATAATATATACATGTTTTTTAAACCAGGGAACAATGGGAGTGTTTGCATAGCTACTGACTCATAAAATCCTACCCTCATGTGACATATTATATGTATCAGCTGACTTTCATGAAGCACTTTAGCACATCACTGCTAGTGTAAAGCAAACAGAAGAACAGGTTTTCATAATCACAAATAAGATTTGCTTTGTTTTTTTTAAAACTGTATGTAAAATGTATATAGCAAAGCAATTATTTTTTATTATGGTGCTTTTTTTCCTTCTTGTTATTTTTTTATTTTGTACAGTTTAATGTTTTAATTGGCAAGTCAAGGCGAACAACAAATGTAAATGGCATTCGGGTGTTTGTGTTGTCGGTCCACATGGGTCACATGTGTACAAATGTAACTTAATTAGAGAGATTAACGAATGAAGAATCCATTAAAATAAATATCTAGTGCAAAGTTCTTGTTTAAAAAAAAACCTCAAAATCTTGGTCATTTAATATGCTCGATGTGTTCTCACAGCTTTCACAGTTGCTGCTATTTTCAGGGGTGTAAGTGGCTCGATAATTGGGGACACTTTAGAATAGTTAGCTTTACCTCTGACCCTCTTTATGGCAGTTTGCTTTCTGGTAAAAAAAAAAAATATAATAATTTGTAGAGCAAAACGAAGCAGAATTGCCTCGTTCATGTCCTGTGCAGGGATGCATGTCTGATCTTTTTGGGGAGGGGGTAGGAAGAAGGTAAACTAGCTCTTAAACTAGCGGTACTGACCTGCAGCTGACACCTTCAGTAAGCAGAGTCAGCACTGTGCCTGCAGCCCCACCTCTCTTCAAAAGATCCCATCTTCAAAAGGTGCGTATATTGAATGAATACGAGCTGCTGGTAGTGGTGTGGCTTGGTCAGTAATTCTGTTTCCAGTCCCCTTCAGGGCAAGGGGCACCCCATCCCAACCCACCACACAGCTACACCAACAGACTGGCATAACACAGTGTTTAATGTGCCTCTGCTGTGCTTGACTTTGTCGTTTGTTTGCTTCCCAAGAAGACAAACACATCCTCTGTGGGTCCGTGTTAATGTCTGTGACTTTCTGTTTGCTCTAACCAGTATTTTTTTTCCCCCTTTCTTTCCCAGTAAATGCACATCCATCAAGCTTTCTCATGTGCTCACACGTTAGCCTGTCCTTTGATCCATGCAAGAAGCAGGAAAACGGATACAATAATTAATTACAAATACTGTTCTGGAAGCCTCGTTGGAAAATCGCAGTCTTGCTTTGGAGGGCAGAAGTTTTAACAGGGTTGGCATAGTAAAAGAAATTGTATTATTATTATTTTTAGAAAAAAGAAAAGGTTACCACCGCAGTCTGCTTTCAAAGAGCTTTTGTATGGAAAACTGCTTTTTAATGTTCTTGTGCAACAAAAAGGCAGAATCTGTCCCTGAAATTTGGCTTAAGGTGATTTTTTTTTTTTTTTTTTTTATAAAGAAAAGTGTGACTGCAGACTATTGGGAAAGCCATACTGTGTGCTTATGAAATCAGCATCTTGCTTGTTTTGACTGGATAAATGGAGTAAACAAGAAATCTAAATAGAGTTGAACTATAATTTTAAGTCAGCACCTCATTAAAAAGAAAGTTGGGGTGCTCCACAGCACAAGCTAAAGTGATAAGGTGCTGCATGAGCACGGCTTGTGAAGGTGACTTAAAGGTGATTTGCTGTTCTTATCAGGTAAATGGGCGTGTGGGCGGTTTGGTGTTTGTAAATATGTGGCGGACAGCAGGAATAAGTATTTGCATGCGGCGCGTGTTGGATTGTGGTTTGTGGATTGGCTGAGCTGCTGTGCTGCACTGACAGACGTACAGTAAAGTCATTGGATATCAATATGCACTGCTCAAAAAAAATGGAAGGACTTTTTAATCAGAGTGCAGCCTCAAGTCAATTAAACTTGTGGGATATTGATCTGGTCAGTTAAGTCGCAGAGGGGGTTGTTAATCAGTTTCAGCTGCTTTGTTGGTCATGAAATGAAACGAGAGGGGCAACAATGAGACAATACCCAAAACAGGAATTTTTCCCAGAACCAGTTTTACAGGTGGAGGCCACTGACATTTTTCCTTCCTCGTCTTTTCTGACTGTTTTTTCACTAGTTTTGAATTTGAAGTCAGTGTTATTATTGGCAGCATGAGGTGCCAAGGTTTGCTGTGTCTCCCAGCACAGTCTCAAGAGGAGACTCTTTGAGACAGCCAGTTACTTAAGGAGAGCTGGACAGGGTCATAAAAGGTTCTTCCCGTATCAGTAGGACTGGTATCTGGAGGAATAGCATGGGCACTGCCAGAGCTAAAAAAAATGGCCTCCAGCAGGCTGCTGGTGTGAATGTCTCTTACCAAACAACCAGAAATAGGCTTCATGATGCCCAGTACTGTGCAGCTCGATTGGAATTTCCCATAGAATCCCAGAATTGGCAGGTCCACCGCTGGCACCCTGTGCTTTTCACGAATGAAAGTAGGTTCACCCTGAGTACTTGTGACAGACGTGAAAAAGTCTTGATAAGCTGTGGAGAATGTTATGCTGCCTGTAACATCATTCAGCATCATAGGTTTAGTGATGGTTCAGTGATGGTTTGGGAAGGCATTTCAATCAGGGACACACAGACCTCTACAAGCTTGACAACAGCGCCCTAACTGCCTTTAGGTATCTGGATTAAAGTTCCTTCGGGTGATGTGATGACAGTATGCAGGCAGTTCTATGACAATGAAAGAATTGATACCCCTGAATGGATGCAAATCTCTGGGACATTGTGTTTTGGTCCATACAATGCTGCCAGGTTGCAGCTCAGACTGTCCAGAAGCTCATCGATTCCCATTGAGATCTGATGTTTTCAAATTGTCCCTTTATTTATTTATTTATTTTTTTGATCTGTGTATAATGAGCACATATCCTGTCCACCTCATGTCAATGCAAACCAGCTGTCGCCACTACCTGTGGTCAGGGATGATGCAAATCGTACCCAATGTGAAAATATAAATCCCCATGAAAAGAAAACTTAGATCCAAGACTTTCACCTTGCGTGTGCATCCTGCAGACAACTCCAGGCAAGGATTAATGCTTGAATAAACAAAACAAAACAAAGGATTCCTCAGCTGCTACCAAAGTTATTGAGCCAGACCGGGTATTGTCACGACTAACAGGCAAAGAGAACGTAAGCAGAAACCTTCAGTTGGATTCACGGCAATAAAAAACACAATATCTGACCCAGGTGAGCTTCGCTAGTGTAGGAATTTCCTACACTAATTACTCTAACCTTCTTACCTCACTTGTTCGCTTTGCATGTGACCACCTTAAATTTCAGAATTGGCATAAAATTCGAACATTGACCAAAGATTTTAATTGGGCCTGTTTGTATCTGTTTAATGAATTTCAAATGCTAAATGTGTGAATCTTTTCCTCGGGCCCTTCTGACAAGCTATGACTGATTCAATTCTGTGACAGAAATGAAGAATCATCTGATTTTTGAGTGTGTGTATATAATTTATTATTCCTCTTCCCCCCCCTTCTTGTCATCTCTTTGAACGCAGCAAAACCAAAGCACTTCAGAAACCCACACAGACTGCTGAGTGTTGCACGGAGACTTAAAGACTACGGTATCCTTGTTAAAGTTTACGGCACAGAAGAGTTTGGGGTTATGCTTGTGTTAATTAAATATCCCCTCTGGGTAATGACGGGTGTGCTGGGCATCACCACTGTCTTTTTTAATTCCTATATCTCTTTGATGAGTGTGTTGAACTACAAGGAGAAAAAGCAGTGGACGCCTTGTGAAACTATCACCATGGCTCTGTCGGTGGCCAGTATTGCTCACCAGATGACTTGCTACTTCTGGATGACCATGGATGAGGTGGACAGTAACTGCCAGATTGCCCAGATAGGCTACGCTATCCTGCTGGTGCTTACCTTCAGCTTCAAGTTCATCATCATGTGGAACAGCAGCTTTCTCACTTTCTACTACAGCACCAAACTGGTTCACGAACCCAACCACTGCTACACACACGCCCAAGATGTCATCGTCAAGCACGTGACCATAGCTGTGATTCTCATCCCTCTGTTTGGTTTTGGCACCTGTTTGCCAATGCTTGTGTTGTTTAACGCTGGCAACCCAGCAGCTGCTGGAAACGCGGTTGGCAACATCACCTACAAAGCAAATGGAGACTGTGGACTTGTATTCTCTGACACCACTTCTGTGAAGGTTTATCAAGTCATGTACTTGCTCCTCTCTGATGTATTTCCAGGGGTGGTCATGGTGAAATGCTGCATCTCCATCTCTGTTCACCTGGCCATCCATCTCCAGCACATGAAAGCTAGCACCAATGGAACCCACCCTCCAAAGCTGGGCACTCAGATAAGGGTCATCGAAATGGCTCTTGGTCTAGTGGCCAACTTCCTTGTCCTGCTCGTGGTAGACCTGTATGTCAACTACAAAATTGTGGCGCACCAAGAGAGCACCCTCTCTCTCACAATCTTTTTCACATCGCTCTACACGACCGTTGCTGCCATGGTGCTCATCTACGGCAAGAGGACTCTTTGGAAAACGCTGATACATGATTTTAACTTCTGGCTTAGTGAATAACTGTATTTGTCTTGTCTGAAGGTGCCCGAACAAAAGACTCAAGCCAGCCTTCCTTCAAAAGTTAAAAACTGGGGGACAAAAAAAAGCCAATTTGCTTTCTGCTGGAGGTCTTTGTGCTGAAATCAATTGGTCATTGTCTGAACTTATTAAAAAACTTTGAAGTATTCTTTTATCTTTTGTGCTAGCAATTTCAGTAATGACTACTGTCCTGCTGCATCACCATTAATTACAGTTTCTTGCATCAGAATGGGATTTTAGCTGTGCTGGCCACTTAGAGCTCTGCAAGTGAACGCACACCGGGGCCATATAACCAGCTGACCAGGCCAGTACCTATGAATATTAATATTTCAGTAGTACAAATAATAAGTTAGGCCTGTAAAACAGATCCCAAAGCATGCGTGCTTAGACATGATGTAACTCGGGGCCCATCTGAAAACGTTAAAAAATACATGTGACTGAGGTAAGAGTACAGAGCATATTAATAAAATAGGAACGTATGCAGAACCTGGCTTTAAGAGTTTTTCCCCCCTCACTCAGGTTGCAGATAGTTTAAGCTGCACACAGGGACTGGAGTAACCTGCACGTTAGCTGGAAGGATGCCAGGCCAAATCCCTGCACCATATGAGGGGGAAAAAACACAAACCCGATGAAGAGAAGCCCCCCCCCCAACATCCTCCTTTTTAGTATATGTGTTCGCTGGCCCTCGACAGAATCGTGTATACCTGCACTCGACAGCTCCCAGGTGTGACTTTATGTAGCTGTTGCTGAGAGTGTGGATATGAAGCTGGTGTTCCTGAAAAGTGCACTCATGCCCAGCAAACCTACTCTGAGTAAATAGAGGGGCTTTTTTATAAAAAGGAAAAAATGAAAAAAAAAATGCAGCAGACCTCCTTGCAATGCTACATTAGTTCACACCCTCTGGCACCACCTAGTGAGGTTCAAAGCAGAGATACAATAGTGCAGCTAATCCCACTACACACAGAGACTCGGGATCCCTCCAGCTGTTAAACGGACAAAGTAAGAAAGGGCGTATTATCCTTTGATGCAGGGGAGTTAAGTCGTACCAAGGCCTCCGCTTCCATTCCTGTCGTCTTCCCCTCTCCCTGTTGGAGGGAGCTGGATTCAACATAACAGGGGCAAGTTAGGTTAAAGATGAGGCCAAGAACAGCTCAATACAATAAAAGGAACCAAAAAATAAAAGCGCTAATATGGCTACAAATGGCCATTTCTTCAGTGATTAACTGAAAGAAATGGCTACAGTTGTAGCTGCTCAAACTGGACCCAGTCTTAACTACCATATGCACATACGGTAGACTAAAGCGGTTTTATTGATCACTTTTGGACTTTTTCCTTTGACAGTTAAAGCAATAAATAAATAAATAAATAAATAAATAAATACTTGTGTTTTTTAAAACTACACTGCATTTAGTGGAAGATAAAAAAAAGATGCAAATTAAGACTTAAAAGACAAAAGGCAATAAATGCGATAATTATCATTTTAAATGAGTGAAATTATAACAAACAGGGGTGGCATGGTGGTGCAGTGGCTAGCACAGAAGGTGCTGGGTTTGAATCCAGGCTGGGACCTTTCCATATGGAGTTTACATGATCCCTCTCTGCAGGTACTCAGTCTGCAGTCCAAACATATGCATGGGGTTGAGTTAACTGGTGATTCCTAAATTGGCCACAAGTGTGAATGTGTGCAACAGATCGATGACCTGTTCCAGGGTGTACCCTGTGTCCTGCCCTGTGGATAGGCTCCAGCAACCCCAAATCAGATGGATGGATGAAAAATAAATATTCCACCTGGAACTTATATGTTGTCTACGAACTAAGGAGGACAGTATGTCTTATTTTGTATTCACAGCTTGTTTCTGCTGACCCCAAGTGACCAAAAAAATCCTGCAGGTTGAAAAATAAAATAAATTATTGAATTTTATATCGAATTTTATACCGGAAATTAATTTATAAAATTAATTAAAGGTTGAAAAATAAAATAAATTATTGAATTTTATATCGAATTTTATACCGGAAATTAATTTATAAAATTAATTAAAGGTTGAAAAATAAAATAAATTATTGAATTTTATATCGAATTTTATACCGGAAATTAATTTATAATGACTTGTAAATATTCTGAAAAGCAGCCGCCCGAGCTTCCGCAGTAAGATCTAAATTAAAATACAGTGGACTGGAATAAAAGAATTAAAGTAGCAGAAATATCTAAGAGAAGTATCTCAGAATTGTACTTAAGTACTTTGTTATGTCTGATAAATGAAGTGTAAGAGTTTGCAACTGTGTTGTGGAAAAAATGTTTCAAACTTCGACTGAGTGCTGTCTCAAGGAAATGGAAATTGTGTGAGTGACCTCAGACTGTGGAATGACTCAGACACTCCGATGTGCCACTGGCTTGTAAGTCAGCTGAGAGGAGACTGGAAAGACGTCTGCAACAGAAAGGAACAATGCTGTTGTGATTTCTGCCCTTGGAATTGTTACAGCATTAAGCCGCAAACCTCTTACACTATGAGGTTGTTTCCATGGAGATGTTCCCGAGTATCCAGCTAAAGTTGGCAGTTATTACGTTGCTTCCTTTGCATGAGTGAACATCCCTTTAAATGTCCACTGCCCATGAGACTTGAAGGGAGAAAGATACCCCCGCACCTCACTATCCAACAGGAAGGAAGAGGCCATTAACAATACAGATTAGCAACACCAGCACCATCCCACAATTCCTAGAAGAATTGCGTAAAGTCCTCCCTGCTTTCACACGAAAAGCCTCTCCAGCCTATGCACCAGTGAGCTAAAGCAAAGTATCGTTTACCTACACCAACTCTAATTGTGTTTGAAATGCATAGGTCACCACTTCTGTGTCTAGTTTGTTGATGTTTTGAGCTTGAGTGGGTAATTTTTTTTCACGCCATCAACAGCATCCCGATAACTGTCTGTGTGAGTGCTGCGTTTCCACCGAGGGTACAGAGGGTAATCTGTATTCTGTATGGAGGCAAGATTGCAGCTAAAAGGCTTTTTTTTTTTTTTTCCAAATAATCATAGTCATCAAAAAAAGGGAAAAAAATAGGGAGTCTGCAGGCATTTCAGAAACTGCTTTATTTCTGTTAAGTCAACAACAGCTTGTTCATAAAAAAGATCATCATATATCTCTTGAGGCATTGTTTGTATAAAATGTCTTTGATGCACGTTAAGGAATTTCCACTGTACAAAAGAAGTTAATCCCTTGTAAAAACAATGTAAATTTAATAAAACACTGGCAAATTAACAAAAGATTCAACTCTATCATTCTTAAAGCACTTTTACATGCAGAGATTTTGCACATACTGTTTCTTTTAGAACATTTTGACAGCGCACAGGAAAAAGTGTATATTGAAATCATACTAAAAATTACACTGCACTCAAAATAAACAATCTCTGTACACACTGGGTGTGCAAAACTAAGGAAATACTCAATTCAACGAATAGCAATAATTTACTTGAAAATTAATTGATAAAAAAGAAAATCTACCCACACCTGAAATATCAAACTAAAGTGAACTCCAGAGGTATTTATGCTTGTAGCACATAGCGTTTAGGGTTCTTTAAAGGACCAGTTAGAAAGTTTGGAAAATTTACTCTCTCGACAAGAGAAAGAGACTATACCACTTACATCATTGTCTAAATGATGACTCCATAACCTACAGTTAGCTTAGCATTAGGACTGAAAACAGCTGCCGACTGGAAACAATTCAGATCTCATGATTTCCTCTGGGATTAATAAAATATCCTAATTTGTTCACAAAAGAGGGAAACGTTGTGTTTTACATGTGGCAGAATGAGTATCTCTTGGCCAAGAGCAGTAACTTTCTGATCTTATTTCTGATTGCCACACAATGTCATCTTTAAACTAAAGGTTTCTTATAGTTTCGTGATTTGATTTATTAAGTGAGCTTTGCAGATGGCAGGTGTATTTTTGTGTCTTCTATGTCTAATGCTAAGCTAAGCTAACCTTTTGGCTTAAATTCAAGCAACAACCTGGAAGTGCAAAAAACACAGATCACCTGAAGCTGGCTCCAAAAGTGAGTCAGTCCCCATAGACTCTTGTGTAAAAATACCCAGAGATGAAGTGAATGTTTATAGCCAGGTACAATACTTGTTTTGGGATTGTATGTATAATTAGCTTCAGTCATGGTTCAAAGTTAAGGTCATTTGAACTGTTACAAAAATGAAACCATCTGATCCAAGAAGAGTTGGCCAAAACTGAAACAAACAAATCTGTTTATGTCAGCTGATCTATTAGAATATAAGATCACCAAATGTTGCCATTAGTCTATATCTGCTGGGCACCAATGCAAACATGGACCTGCTGTTGCTGTTTTTTTTTGTTTTTTTTTACTGGAATTTCCTGGAATAGTTTCATCTTACCCATGGATGCAGCTTAGCTGAAAACTTAGCACTACACTCAGTGGCCTAAATATGGTCACTTCCTGTTCCAGAAATGCAAGCTGTCATGATTTTAGCTAAATTGGAGGCTTCAAAAATACAGAAATCACAAACCAATCAGTGATGTCATTCGTCTTTTATACACAGTCTGTGCTCCATGCTACATGCCCACTAAAAAGGTACAAGAGTGGCATCTATGATCTTGTCTCCTAACCAATGCAAATATGCAGATTTTCCAAAACGTCCTTTCACTGAACCTCACCATCAACATGATGTAGTTTAGTTTGGATGCACGGGTTACAGTATTCAGTTCATCATCAACATCAAAACAAACGCATAATCTGCAGCACATTCAATAATGCCATCCAGTGTCTCTGAAACATTGTGGTTTAGACACCGTCAACAAACAATAACTACATTCTGTACATTGTTTTCCCTGCTCTCAATCAAGTTCGAAATGAATCTAATGCAGCTTTTTACTGTTCAAAAATGGAATGCTGGTAAACAGCTAGAGGGGAAATGAGTCATCCAGTGTCACTCTGTAAGCACACACACTGTTCAGCCACAAC